TTATTTTAGCTTTATACAACTACCCTAGTTTATACATTCACAATTGTTAAAATAATCAAGGTGCTATTCTCAGGTGCTAAAGTAGAATAATTCACAACTTTGCCATTATATTCCAAAACTACCTTAGCTCATTATTTTACATTTGTTAAATAATTCAGGTGCTATTTTTTAGCTTAAGACTATTTACTTTGTTTTATACTTAATTCTAACTATAGATTCACTACAAATCTTATGATTACAAGCATTGATCCTGATACCAACCTCTTATTTAACGACTTAAATGATTCAAACAGTTACTGTAATTACTACACTGCAGAACAATCAAAGGCACTTCTCAGTGCCAACAACAACATAACTATCTTTAACTACAATATCAGATCTTTAAGTAAGCATTACGATGACCTCATAGCATTACTAAATTCCTTACATGCCAACATGTCCATCATTACACTAACTGAAACCTGGCTAAAGCCTGATAGTACAGAAGTCTATGCCATTCCTGGTTACACAGCCATACACAACTGTAGGCCAGACCAACAAGGGGGTGGCACAGCCATATACTACTCAGACCAACTAGAATGTATCACTAATACTTGCACAAGGGATGAACATGGGGAATATATAATAGCCAAATTCAAATCCAAATACCTACAAAAACCTCTCACATTGATAAACATTTACAGAGTTCCACAGTCAAACATTAGCCAATTAGTCAAAACCTAGGAAGTATGATAACTGATGCACGCATGAACAAAGATCACTTACTACTCTCAGGTGACTTCAATATAAATCTCCTGCAAGACCAGGACCCACACGTTACTGAATTCACAAACACAATGAGTAACTGTATGTTGCTACCAACAGTAACAAAACCTACAAGAGTTACAGAGACTAGTGTTTCCCTACTTGACCACATCTGGACCAACACCATATCCCCTTTAAAATCAGGCATAATTACAGATAATACCACAGACCACTACCCTACTTTTCTCATAACAACTCTTGGTAAATTACCCCAAGACACTACTAAAGTCACCTTCAGACTTCACAATGAGGCAGCCATTAATAACTTCACAACAGCAGTAGCAAACATTGACTGGCACACTGAGCTAGAAATCAATACAGATATTGACGAATGTATTAAAAATTTTCTAAAAAGACCCAATACCTCTATAACAAGCACTGCCCTAAAAAAAACTAAACAGATGACAGCTAAGAGACTGAACAGTCCCTGGTTAACACCCAGCATTCTCAAATCCATAAATACAAAACACCAATATGAAAAACAGTACAGAATGGGTCACATAACCAGAGACCAAACAAACGTTACTCGTCAATCCTAACCAGCCTGATAAGAAGGGCAAAAAAATTGTATTATGAGAACAGATTATCCAACTTACGAGGTGATATAAAAAAGACCTGGAAAACCCTATCAGAAATTCTAGGAACAAAAAAGATATCACGAAATAGCGAAATAAAATTAGCAAAATCAGATGAACCCCAACTCCCACCAACAGAAACAGCAAACAGACTCAATGACTTCTTCTCCACTATAGGACAAAACCTTGCCAATAAAATCCCAAGCTCAGATACCCCACCAAATGACTACCTCACTGGCAACTACCCGAACACACTGTTCCTAGCTCCGACTAACCCATACGAAGTCTCCCTTATTATCAACACGCTAAAAAACAAGGCAGGAGATTTAAATACCTTACCACCCTTTATATACAAAAAAGTGTCACAAGTGCTATCACCAATCATTGCAACACTCTTTAACAAATCCATTGAATCCTCCACCTTCCCCACAGTACTCAAAATAGCAAGGGTCACCCCGATCCACAAAGGAGGAGACCAAACAGAGTTGAATAACTATAGGCCAATATCCAACTTACACCCTCTCTCAAAAATCTTCGAAAAATTAATTCATAAACGAATCTACTCCTACCTTATCTCCCAAAACATACTCAACCCCTGCCAATTTGGATTCAGGCCAAATAAAAATACTAATGATGCTATTTTTACACATGCTAGAACATATATACACTGCAATAGAGAAAAAAGAAGTCCCACTGGGGATCTTCATTGACTTACGTAAAGCTTTTGATACAGTTAACCATGACTTGCTCCACGTAAAATTGTCACACTATGGTATAAGAGGGCACTCCCTCAACTACCTCAAGTCATACCTCAGCAACAGAAGCCAATATGTGTATGCAAATGGGGCAAACTCTTCTGCACAACCAATTACAGTTGGTGTCCCACAGGGAAGTGTCCTTGGCCCTCTTCTCTTTCTCCTATACATAAATGACCTACCAAATGCTTCGCAATTACTCAAACCCACACTATTTGCAGATGACACTACATACGTCTTCTCCCACCCGAGCCCAGTCACGCTAGCCAATACTGTAAATACAGAATTACAGAAAATATCTACCTGGATGAGGACTAACAAACTTACACTAAACATTGACAAAACCTACTTCATTCAGTTTGTAACAGAGCTACAGATGTCCCTCTTAACATAATGATAAACGGATCACCTATCACAAAGCTAACAGAGGGAAAATTCTTAGGAATCCACCTTGATAATAGACTCAAATTTCATACACATATACAACAAATTTCTAGAAAATTTCCAAGACTGTAGGCATACTATCGAAGATACGGTACTATGCTCCACAGTCAGCCCTCCTGGCCCTATATCACTCTCTTATTTACCCCTATCTCACCTATGGAATTTGTGCATGGGGCTCAACAACAAGTAACCATCTCAGACCACTAATTACCCCAACAAAAGGCTGCAGTTAGAATGATAACAAATTCTCACTATAGGCAGCACACTCCACCAATATTCAATACACTAAACCTATTCACCATACAAAACATTCATACTTATTACTGCACCTATTACATACATAGAACACTTAACTCTGATATTAACCCTCCCCTCAAACATCTCCTTGCCAACCTCAACAGAACACATGACCATAACACAAGGCACAGATCACTCTTTGATGTTCCTCGTGTCCATCTCACACTTTGCAAAAACTCAATGCACATAAAAGGCCCTAAAATCTGGAACTCATTACCTGTAAATATAAAAGAAACACTACCTGTTATATAAATTCAAGTCTCTTCTCAAAGATCACTTACTCACCCAAAACCAAATAAATACTGAATAACTGAACCTTATAAATTGTATATCTTAAATGTTTCTCACAATTATATCACATAAATGTTAAACCTAAAACCCAATCTAACTTTATTATTTTTTAAATACACTACCTAACAGAATACTCCATTCTACTGAATGTACAACAATGCATACAACCATATGACCTGTCTTTGTAATACTCACTTGTGCTTTATAGTAATCTGTTTACATTAAAGTTTTATCACCGATGTCATCATTGCTTAGTTCATCTTAAGTTAATTTTAAGCCAGCCCGTAATGCTATGCATAGTATAAGTGGCTTTGGCATACTGCTCTTTTCTGTATTTTTTGTACCTCTGTATGTGTGCACAAATTTTTAAATAAATAAATAAATAAATAAATGTTTATCACTGTGAGAGGTTTTTGTAGGTATTTGGATTTGAATTTAGCTATTATATATTCCCCATGTTCATCCCTTGTGCAAGTATTAGTGATACATTCTAGTTGGTCTGAGTAGTATATAGCTGTGCCACCCCCTTGTTGGTCTGGCCTACAGTTGTGTATGGCTGTGTAACCAGGAATGGCATAGACATTGTAGAATCAGGCTTTAGCCAGGTTTCAGTTAGTGTAATGATGGACATATTGGCATGCAAGGAATTTAGTAATGCTAGGAGGTCATCATAATGCTTGCTTAAAGATCTGATATTGTAGTTAAAGATAGTTATGTTGTTGTTGGCTCTGATAAGTGCAAATAACAAGTGTAAATAAGTTTATTTAGGCACAAATACAATTATCATACATACTACAAATTACCAAGGATAACCCAAAAAAAAGTCACCTTACACCTGATGTCCCTGTTCATTTAGCAGTAAGTAGGTACCTGGGTGAAAGTTAAGACACATACGCAACATCTGGTTATCTTTATTGTAGACGTTTTGCCATCCAGTGGCTTTATCAATACAAATTCTAGAATCTGTGCTGATAAAGCCACTGGATGGCAAAATGTCTACAATAAAGATAACCAGATGTTGCATGTGTGTCTTAACTTTCATCTTTTTGGTATTGTATACCTACTTTGCACAGGTGACTGGTGTGGGTCGCATCCTGTGGGACAAGATTGAAGACCACAATGGAAATAAGACGATGAACCACCAACTTACTTAGGTTATCCTGGCAGGCTAACCTCCCCTACCCCAGGTTATCCTGGCAGGCTAACCTCCCCTACCCCAGGTTATCCTGGCTGACTAACCCTCCCCTACCCCAGGTTATCCTGGCTGGCTAACCTCCCCTACCCCAGGTTATCCTGGCAGGCTAACCTCCCCTACCCCAGGTTATCCTGGCTGGCTAACCCTCCCCTACCCCAGGTTATCCTGGTTGGCTAACCCTCCCTACCCCAGGTTATCCTGGCTGGCTAACCCTCCCCTACCCCAGGTTATCCTGGCTAGCTAACCCTCCCCTACCCCAGGTTATCCTGGCTAGCTAACCCTCCCTACCCCAGGTTATCCTGGCTAGCTAACCCTCCCCTACCCCAGGTTATCCTGGGTGGCTAACCCTCCCCTACCCCAGGTTATCCTGGCTAGCTAACCCTCCCTACCCCAGGTTATCCTGGCTAGCTAACCCTCCCCTACCCCAGGTTATCCTGGCTGGCTAACCCTCCCCTACCCCAGGTTATCCTGGCTAGCTAACCCTCCCTACCCCAGGTTATCCTGGCTGGCTAACCCTCCCCTACCCCAGGTTATCCTGGCCCCCAGAACCCGGCTCCTACAGATGTCAGCCCAGGGAACTACCACTTGACCGATCAACCAAGTCAATCAAAGTCACATTAACATAATAATACTACCAACCTCTGAACCATGTTGTAGGAGCATCCACTAGATTAACAAGAGCGTCCACGAAGGAATTAAATGCATTTTTGGGTGTGTTAGAGTCCATCTTGCCTGAGCCACCATAACACTCACACTGTTGCCACTTCTCCTCTCATACTTCATAACTTTATTTAGGTGCACGTAACTACAATTATTATATATATGGTGTAAATTAACTAGGATAACCCCAAAAAAAGTCGAAGTGACTTATTCCCAGTTGTGGTCTTTATATTTTCATTAGGAATGTTCAATGTGTTCATTATGCATCCCATACCTATCCTGTGGGCGTTATTTCTGGTCCTTGTATTTCCACAGGGGTCCTTGTATTTCCACTGGGGTCCTTGTATCTCCACTGGGGTCCTTGTATTTCCACTGTGGTCCTTGTATTCACACTGCGGTCCTTGTATTTCCACTGGGGTCTTTGTATTTCCCTTGGGGGTCCTTGTATTTCCATTGTGGTCCTTGTATTTCCCTTGGGGTCCTCGTATTTCCATTGGGGTCTTTGTATTTCCCTTGGGGTCCTTGTATTTCCAATGGGGTCCTTGTATTTCCACTGGGGTCCTTGTATTTCCACTGGGGTCCTTGTATTTCCACTGGGGCCCTTGTATTTCCACTGTGGTCCTTGTATTTCCACTGGGATCCTTGTATTTCCACTGTCGTCTTTGTATTTCTACTGTGGTCCTTGTATTTCCACTGGGGTCCTTGTATTTCCACTGGGGTCCTTGTATTTCCACTGTGGTCCTTGTATTTTCCTAAGGGTCCTTGTATTTCCACTAGGGTCCTTGTATTTCCCTTGGGGGTCCTTGTATTTCCACTGGGGTCCTTGTAATTCCACTGTGGTCCTTGTATTTCCACTGGGGTCCTTGTATTTCCACTGGGGACCTTGTATTTCCACTGTGGTCCTTGTATTTCCACTGGGGTCCTTGTATTTCCTCTGGGGTCCTTGTATTTCCACTGGGGTCCATGTATTTCCACTGGGGTCCTTGTATTTTCACTGGGGTCCTTGTATTTCCACTGGGACCTTGTATTTCCACTGGGGTCCTTGTATTTCCACTGGGGTCCTTGTATTTCCACTGGGGTCCTTGTATTTCCACTGTGGTCCTTGTATTTTCACTGTGGTCCTTGTATTTCCACTGTGGTCCTTGTATTTCCACTGTGGCTCTTGTATTTCCACTGGGGTCCTTATATTTCCACTGTGGTCCTTGTATTTCCACTGGGGTCCTTGTATTTCCACTGTGGTCCTTGTATTTCCACTGTGGTTCTTGTATTTCCTCTGGGGTCCTTGTATTTCGACTAGGGTCCTTGTATTTCCACTGGGGACCTTGTATTTCCACTGTGGTCCTTGTATTTCCACTGTGGTCCTTGTATTTCCACTGTGGTCCTTGTATTTCCACTGGGGTCCTTGTATTTCCACTGGGGTCCTTGTATTTCCAATGGGGTCCTTGTATTTCCACTGTGGTCCTTGTATTTCCACTGGGGTCCTTGTATTTCCACTGTGGTCCTTGTATTTCCACTGGGGTCCTTGTATTTTCACTGTGGTCCTTGTATTTCCACTGGGGTCCTTGTATTTCCACTGTGGTCCTTGTATTTCCACTGTGGTCCTTGTATTTCCACTGGGGTCCTTGTATTTCCACTGTGGTCCTTGTGTTTCCACTGTGGTCCTTGTATTTCCACTGTGGTCCTTGTATTTCCACTGGGGTCCTTGTATTTCCATTGTGGTCCTTGTATTTCCATTGTGGTCCTTGTATTTCCACTGTGGTCCTTGTATTTCCACTGTGGCCCTTGTATTTCCACTGGGGTCCTTGTATTTCTACTGTGGTCCTTGTATTTCCACTGGGGTCCTTGTATTTCCACTGGGGTCCTTGTATTTCCACTGTGGTCCTTGTATTTCCACTGTGGTCCTTGTATTTCCACTGGGGTCCTTGTATTTCCACTGGGGTCCTTGTATTTCCACTGTGGTCCTTGTATTTCCACTGGGGTCCTTGTATTTCCACTGTGATCCTTGTATTTCCACTGTGGTCCTTGTATTTCCACTGTGGTCCTTGTATTTCTACTGGGGTCCTTGTATTTCCACTGTGGTCCTTGTATTTCCACTGTGATCCTTGTATTTCCACTGAGGTCCTTGTATTTCCACTGTGGTCCTTGTATTTCCACTGTGGTCCTTGTATTTCTACTGGGGTCCTTGTATTTCCACTGTGGTTCTTGTATTTCCACTGTGGTCCTTGTATTTCCACTGGGGTCCTTGTATTTCCACTGTGGTCCTTGTATTTCCACTGTGTTCCTTGTATTTCTACTGGGGTCCTTGTATTTCCACTGGGGTCCTTCAGCAAACATCTTAAGACAATCCAAGCAAGTTTCTAGGTTATTGTATACATAAATTTTGTTTACAGTGACCTTGAGAGCAAACAAATATTATGGTCAAGGGACGATACCAAAAAATTGCCTATTACAATGCTCAGTTTTAGGACAATACCGATACCATCAAAATCAAACCCCAGTGAAAATAAATCACTGCTGACCTTGTTTTGAGTTTATCTTAGGTAATTTACACTTATTACTATATCATATGTAGCCACCTGTAACTAATGTGTACCTGTACCTAAATAAACTTATTTATTTACTGATACTAGAACATTAATATATTTCTAGTAGACTTTTTTTTTTAGGTGACCCTTGAATGGGGACCTATAAGTATTTTTTTTTTAGTGATATATCTAGTGGTTTTCTTTGTGAATAACAATACTTTATTACAAGTATTTCTTGATGAAGTATACAAGCTACAGCTTGTATAAAAGCTTTTATAAAGCTTCTTTACTTACATACTTTTATTTAAGCTTAAATGCTCGTCAGAATTAGGGTAAATTTTGGATTAATTTTGGTATATGAAGGTTGCATGATTGTTCTAAAAGAAAATGGGAAAATTGCAAATATTGTTTGTCATGCAATGTTTACACCGGGTGTGGACATGTGAATGGCTCATTACTCTGTAATTTGTTCATGATTGTAACCATGTATAGACGTATAGATGATTTATTACCTTTGTAACTTGGTCATGACTGTGACCAGTTCTACCTGGAGTTCATTACCTTTGTAACTTGGTCATGACTGTGACCAGTTCTACCTGGAGTTCATTACCTTTGTAACTTGGTCATGATTGTGACCAGTTCTACCTGGAGTTCATTACCTTTGTAACTTGGTCATGATTGTGACCAGTTCTACCTGGAGTTCATTACCTTTGTAACTTGGTCATGATTGTGACCAGTTCTACCTGGAGTTCATTACCTTTGTAACTTGCCATGACTGTGACCAGTTCTACCTGGAGTTCATTACCTTTGTAACTTGCCATGACTGTGACCAGTTCTACCTGGAGTTCATTACCTTTGTAACTTGGTCATGATTGTGACCAGTTCTACCTGGAGTTCATTACCTTTGTAACTTGGTCATGATTATGACCAGTTCTACCTGGAGTTCATTACCTTTGTAACTTGGTCATGATTGTGACCAGATCTACCTGGAGTTCATTACCTTTGTAACTTGCCATGATTGTGACCAGTTCTACCTGGAGTAACCTATTACTCATCCATCTCCCTTTTGCCACCTGATGCCCTCGCTTCCTTCCCGCCCTGCAGCGCTGTATAGCCCTTGTGGCTTAGCGCTTCTTTTTGATTATAATAATAATAATAATCTACCTGGAGTTTATTACCTTTGTAACTAGTTCAGCTATCATAACTTTGGGGTCCAGTCCCTGGACCCATTATGTACCTCTGTAACATTTTGACTACCACCCACAGGATGGTATGGAGTGACTACCACCCACAGGATGGTATGGGGTGACTACCACCCACAGGATGGTATGGGGTGACTACCACCCACAGGATGGTATGGGGTGACTACCACCCACAGGATGGTATGGGGTGACTACCACCCACAGGATGGTATGGGGTGACTACCACCCACAGGATGGTATGGGGTGACTACCACCCACAGGATGGTATGGGGGGACTAACACCCACAGGATGGTATGGGGTGACTACCACCCACAGGATGGTATGGGGGGACTACCACCCACAGGATGGTATGGGGGACTACCACCCACAGGATGGTATGGGTTGACTACCACCCACAGGATGGTATGGGGTGACTACCACTCACAGGATGGTATGGGGTGACTACCACCCACAGGATGGTATGGGGGGACTAACACCCACAGGATGGTATGGGGTGACTACTACCCACAGGATGGAATGGGGTGACTACCACCCACAGGATGGTATGGGGTGACTACCACCCACAGGATGGTATGGGGTGACTACCACCCACAGGATGGTATGGGGTGACTACCACCCACAGGATGGTATGGGGGGACTAACACCCACAGGATGGTATGGGGTGACTACCACCCACAGGATGGTATGGGGTGACTACCACCCACAGGATGGTATGGGGTGACTACCACTCACAGGATGGTATGGGGTGACTACCACCCACAGGATGGTATGGGGGGACTAACACCCACAGGATAGTATGGGGTGACTACCACCCACAGGATGGTATGGGGGGACTAACACCCACAGGATAGTATGGGGTGACTAACACCCACAGGATGGTATGGGGTGACTACCACCCACAGGATGGTATGGGGTGACTACCACCCACAGGATGGTATGGGGTGACTACCACCCACAGGATGGTATGGGGTGACTACCACCCACAGGATGGTATGGGGTGACTACCACCCACAGGATGGTATGGGGTGACTACCACCCACAGGATGGTATGGGGTGACTACCACCCACAGGATGGTATGGGGTGACTACCACCCACAGGATGGTATGGGGTGACTACCACCCACAGGATGGTATGGGGTGACTACCACCCACAGGATGGTATGGGGTGACTACCACCCACAGGATGGTATGGGGGGACTAACACCCACAGGATGGTATGGGGTGACTACCACCCACAGGATGGTATGGGGTGACTACCACCCACAGGATGGTATGGGGTGACTACCACCCACAGGATGGTATGGGGTGACTACCACTCACAGGATGGTATGGGGTGACTACCACCCACAGGATGGTATGGGGGGACTAACACCCACAGGATGGTATGGGGTGACTACCACCCACA